AATGCCTGATTTGCAAGTGTGACGCTCTGAGTTCAAACCCCCAGTCCAGCTAATAAATAAATAAATATATATATATAAATAAATAAGTAAACTGATGCTATGTGAATTATATTTCAATTAAAAGCACACACAATAGCCGGGTGCCGCTGGCTCACGCCTGTAATCCTAGCTACTCAGGAGACAAGAGATCAGGAGGATCGCAGTTCAAGGCCAGACCAGGCAAACAGTTCTTGAGACCATATCTCGAAAAAATCCAATGCAAAAAAGGCTTGGTGGAGTGGCTCAAGTAGTAGAACACCTGCCTAGCAAGCATGAAGCCCCAAGTTCAAATCCCAGTGCTGCCAAAAAACACCAAACACACACACACAATATGATATAAAAAGAACAGGCCACAAAAGTAAAAACAGACAAATGGAACTACATCAAACTTTAAAACTTATGTGCATCATGAGTTTTAATGGGATGGGAGAAAATATTTGCAAGTCATGTATCTGATGAGGGGTTAATATCTGAATACATAAAGAACAACAAAATTAACCTGATTAAAAACGGACAACGGCTGGGTGCAGTGGCTCACGCCTGTAATCCCAGCTACTCAGGAGGCAGAGATCGAAAGGATTGATCAATCCTTTCTGATCAAGGCCAGACCAGGCACAAAGTTTTGAAACTCCATTTCAACCAATAAAAACAGCTGGGTGTGGTGGTGCCCACCTGTCATCCCAGCACTGGTACAAATAGGAGAGTCACCTCCAGGAATGAAGTCCAGACTATTCAAAAAACAATGACAGCAAAAGGGGCCAGAGGAGTGGCTCAGGTGGAAGAGCACCTGCCTAGAAAGCACAAGGCCCTGAGTTCAAATCCCAGTTTAAAAATGGCAACAGACGAATAAACTTTTTTTTCCAGTACCGGGGACTGAGCCCAGGGCCTCACACATGCCAGGTAATTGCTCTGCCACTGAGCCACGTCCCCCAGCCCTTTGGTTTTATATTTTGCTTGTGAGATAGGGTCTCATTAACTTTCCCAAGCTTGCCTTGAATTGAAGATCCTCCTGCCTCTGCCTCCTGAGCATCTGAGATTACAGGCGTGTGCCGCTGTGCCCACCCTTGAATAGACATTTTTCCAAAGATGATGAGCAGGTGAGCGAGCCCCAGGCACTCATCACTGGGGAAAGGCCAGTCTGCAGCCACCAGGAGATACTGCTTCACACCCATCGGCATGGCTACTATCCACAGAAAGGAAATTTAGCTAAAAAAAATTAAACACCAGAAAACAGAACTGTTAGAAAGGATGCAAAGGAATGAGAATCCTCAAACACTGCTGATGGGCTTGTAAAATGATGACATTGTCACAGAAAACAGTTTGGAGGGTCCTCACAAAGTTAAAAATAGAACCAAGCAATTGCAACCCACTTCTGAATCCATATCCAGAAAAACTGGAGGCAGTCCTAGTCCCAGCAGCCAGGCCTTGGATGAGCGGATCGGCCTGCGACATAGCCTCACATGGAATGTCATTTATCCTGAAAGGAACGAAGGGCTGGCACAGTGCCCACACCAGTAATCCTAGCTACTGGCGAGGCAGAGATTGGGAGGATCACAGTTCAAGGTCAGCCCAGGGAAAAAGTTCGCAAGACCCCATCTTAATTAATAAAAGCTGGGTGCACTGGCACACACCTGTCATCTCAGCTACACAGGAAGCATAAATAAGAGGACTGTAGTCCAGGCCAGTCTGGACATACTTGAGATACTTGAGAAATCCCTAAAGCTAAAAGGGCTGGGGAAGTGGCAAGCACAAAGCCCTGAGTTCAAAACCCTCGTACTATAAAAAAAAAGTGGTGGGGGGGAGAAAAATCACACACATGCTACAACATGGATGACCTTGAGGACGTGTGCTAAGTCAGGCCTGTCACAAAAGGACAAAGGGACAAGAATGTGTCTGATGTCACTTTTGCGGAAGTCAGAAAGGAGAATGGTGGCTCCCGGGGGCTGTTGAGTGGTCATGAGTTTCAGGTGCACAAGATGAAAGAGCTCTGTTTATCAACAAGGCAGCCTCGCCTAACGCTACTGAACTGACAACTAAAAGTCAATCGTTAACATGGCGAATTTTACTTTCTGCTTTGTTTGGCGGTCCTGGGGATTGAACTCAGGGCCTCACAACTTGTGAAGCAAGTCCTTTACAACTTGAGTCACGCTCGCAGTTCTTTTTGTTTTTAGCATGTTTTGCAGATAGGGCTTCGCACTTTTTCCCCGACCGGCCTTGGAACCTCAGACCTAGATCCTCCTAGCTCCACCTCCCGAGTAGAGGGGATTACAGGTATTGCCATACCATGCCTGGCCCTGTTGTATTTTTTATTACAATAAAAAATAGTCAAAACCAAAGGAAAAGAAACTGAAGGGTTGGCAAAGTGGGTCAAGTGATAAAGCACCTGCCTAGCAAGTGTGAGGCCCTGAGTTCGAGCTCCAGTCATCTGTGGGATAACACAGAGCACAGCTAATGTCTCTGCCTGCCCAGCTCTGCGATGGAACACCCCTTTCTGTCCCCAAGAGCCCCTGTCACAACATCGCACCTCCCTTATCTGGAACCACAGACAGGAAGGGCAGGAACCACATCTCCAATCCTGGGGCTTAACACGGCACCTGGTACCCAGCCAACACTGGTAAATATTTACTGAATAAACTGTCTAGCAACCACATGGTGGGGTCAGGCTGGTTCAAACAGCTCAATTTTACACACAGGTCGGTGGAGGCTGGGCAAGGCAAGGTGACCTGTACAAAAATCACAAAACCAGCAGGTGGTAAGGCAAGAAGGGGACTCGATATTCCACACTCGGCTGTGGCCCCCCCTTCCATAATGCCACCTCCCTTCCAAGGCAATCCTGGTGACTCTAGCTTGACCAGGCCCCAATCCTGGTGACTCTGAGCTTGACCAGGTCGTGGACTCATTCAATAATCCAGTTATGGTTTTCATCCTTCCCCTGAGGACGCATATGAAACTCAGATAAAAGTTTTCAAAGGTTCCTGGATGCCCTAACTCCCACTCAGACACCTCAGTTAAGAATCTACTTTCCACACTGCTATCTAGGTGAGTTGGTTTGTTCTCAGGATTTCCTGTGCGTCAAGATCAACCAGAGCTATTTGAAATTCACACTCCTAGGCCTAGCCCCTGTCGATCTGGTGAAATAAGACCAGGGCTGGCCCAGGAATCAGCATATGACAAACCAAAGGATTCTGGGATTTGTGGCTCTCCAACCCACACAGCTGGGGGAGGCCCCGCCTCCAGATCTCTGATTGACAACTGCTCAAGCTCCCAGCCTCTCCTTCCAGGGGCCCACTGAGCCTGGCTTCTAGAGTGTTCCTCCAAACCCAGGAGAGACCATTCTGAGAGCCATGTCTTAGCTCCACACATGCTCTTTCACCTGGGCCACCAGGCCAGAAGCCTGAGTGTCACCCTGTTCCCATTCCACGTCCTGTCCACCAGCAAGGCAAGTGGGTTCTATCATCCAGGTACCTCTGGGTCCTTCTGTCTGTCACCTCGCCAGAGCCCTGGTCCAGGCTCCCAGCCTGTGCTCCCTGCTTCCTTCTGTCCCTTGACCGGCCACCCTGACCACATTGCTGTCCTCTGCAAAACCCTCCCATGGTGACCAAGTGGTAGAGCTGTACTGTCCAGTATGGTAGCCACACGTGGCTATCGACATTTAAATTCATTAAAGTTAAATAATATCAAAATTTCTGAGCTGAGTCGCACTTAGCCACATTTCCAATCAGCATCCACAGGTGGCTGCCATATTGAATAGGGTGAATGTAGTGCATCCCTATCACTCACAGAAAGTTCTAGCAGACAGGGAAGTTCTAGAACTTGTCTTATAAGCCTTTTCGGGATGTGGCACCAGCCTCAGCTGCACTCCTAACCCCCGAGACTCATGCTCTCAGCTCCAAGCTCATCGTGGGATGGCCACCTTTCTCAACTCCTACCCAACCTCAGGTCCCAGTTCAGCTGTCACCTCTCATCCATCAAGAAAAGGGCCAGGCGTCTGCAGCCCTCAGCGTAAAACCCTGATATGTAACCACCTGGCTGCCAACACTCAGCGGGGTGGGGCGGGGGTGTCTGCCCCCAGAGGACTCCTGGCAAGGTCTGGGCACTTACTTCACTGGTGCTACTGGTGCCAGGGGGAGAAGAGACTAAGCATCCTACAATGCATGTGTGCAACCTGGAGTGGCAGAATCCGGGCAAGTCTGTAAGGCAGAAGCTGTGCCCATTTTGCTGCTTGTCCTCAGCCACCACTTCAGGGTCAGGATACGGAGGTTAGCTGGTCCCTTGCCCAGGACTGCAGGTCTCTTATGGTGTCGGTCCTTAATGACAATCAGTCCCCATGGCAGATGAATAACAGCCCTGAAACATCGAGGGTCTAATCTCTGAATGTTGCCTCCTGTGGCAAAAGGGACTCTGCACACCTGACTTAGGGAAGAATCCTGAAGTGGGACAGTTACCTGGATTATCCAGGACCTACAGTGCAATCACAAACTTTTTTTTTTTTTTTAGAGAGAAACAGGGAAGAGAGGGAGAGAAAGAGAGAGATGGTTACTCTCTGAAGATGGAGCAGAGAGAGGTGAAGATCCGCACTCACACTCCTGGCCTAGAACAGGATGGAAGGGGCCCATGCCTAAGGATGCAGACAGCTGGGAATGGCAGAGCGGATTTTCCCCTAGCACCCCAGAAGGGGGTGTGGCCCTGCCAAAACCCAGGAGAACTAACTGAACTTGCAGAAATGCAGAATACACGCTGTCATCTGAGACAATGCAGCTATGATCACTTGTTACCATGGTGGCTGGGGAAGCTGGGACCGGCTACCCATTCTGGGGCTACTGGATTTGAATCAGAGGATCTGATGCAACACACACACACACACACACACACACACACAATCAAACAAAAAAACAGATTTTAAAAGGAATGGCATTGGGACTGCAGGTGCGGCTCAGTGGCAGAGCACTTGCCTAGCATACACAAGGCCCTGGGTTTGGTCCCCCGAAGCGGGAAATTGTTAGGCACCAGGACCCCATTTCTGCTGGCGCTAAAAGTTAGAAGGAGATGGGCAAAACTGGGTGAGTGTGGCTGGGCCACACCAGGCCATTCTTCTACCTGGGTCCTACTGCCTTCTGAGATGTAAAGGTCCCAGACAGGCCTGTGACCTGACCTAGGACAAGTCAATCTAGCTAAAGCTGAACAGGGATTAATACAACAAAATTCAAATCCTTTTCCACCTGTCCAGCTTGCTGACAACCCTGCTCCCCTCCTGCACTGTCCAGTAGCCACAGTGCCTTTCTGAGCCTTCCAGCAGAGCCACAGGGCCTATGTACTTGCCACTGCATTCAGCTTGGACCCCTCTCCCTCCAGAGTCCTCTAAGGCTGGCCGCTTGTCTTCACTGAGTCTCAGCTCCATCCTTCATGCTGCCTTTCCTTTTTCTTTTCACCTTCCTTTTCCTTGCTCTGCAATTATCTTGCTCATACCTTTGCCTATTCAATGTTAGCTGCCCCTCCCCCAGCCTCAGTCTGCAGGCTCCAGGAGGGCAGGGACTGTCACTTCAGTCCCCAAGCATGTCCCTGACACACGCAGATGTTTGTTCAGTATATTTTAAATGACACAACCAGTGACCTGAAGAATGAATTTGCAGCTTTGAGGAACGCTGGCGCAAGGCCTGGTCCCGACATACCTGATCTTAGCCTTCCGAAAGGCCAGCTCCTCTTCGTTACCGAAGTCCAGGCACACATCCTCAGTATCGTCCACCAGGGCCTAGGGGGGGAGGGACACCGGGGGCACATGGCAGGCCCGCCCCCTCCCCCGCCTGCCCTGCACCCCTGGGCGGGTCTCTGTGCACCTTCTTGGTCCCTCAGCTCCTGGGGACCTTATCCACCCTCCTGACCACCGAGATCAGAGCTCCATGCATCCTTCCTCCTCCCTGCCCGGCCCCTCCCCGCGCGCCCGTTCTCCATCACCCTCCCCACACCCGACCCCAGCCTCAGTCCCCGGCCCCTCACCTGCTTCATCCTCCCGGCGCCCACCTGGCGCATGCGCACGGCCCGGGCCTGGGGGGGGTCGGGGCTCGCTCCGCGCAGGTGCCGGTGCTCGTGGGGGCGGGGCGCGGCAAGAGCGCAGTCGCGGGCTGGGGAGGGGGCTCGCTCTGGGCGGGGCGGGGGCGGGGCCTGGGGGCGTGGCCAGAGTGGGCGGGGCCCCAGGGCACAGGTTGTGGCGCCAGGAAGGGAAGATTCTGGGGGACAAGGGACAGGGATCCTGGGAGGAATGGTAGGGGTGGGTCAGGGAATGTTGGGGATGTTCCAAAAAAACGAGAATGAGTGACCAGGACATGACCAGGGCGGGACGTCATTGTCCCGCCGCCGCCGCTACGAGTTTCCCAGGCCCTTCGGAAAAGCAGATTCCCAGGCCCAACCTGGGGGATCCCCAAGGACCAACCTGCCGCGCAGGCACACTGAATACAAAATAGCTGGTGATACGGAAGGCCTTCCTGGAATTCCCCTGGGAAGATGATTGGCCATCTGAGGGTCTCCCCTGCCCAGTCACCCCCTGCCCTCTCCCCTTCCCCTACACACCCACCCTTACAGCCACTTAAACTGCTCTTGCTGAAAAGTACAGTCTCCTCGCTGGGTCAGTGAGTTGACTGAAAGCAAGAGAAAAGCTTGGCCTCCCTGCCTCCATTCTGCATCTGGCTCTTTTGCTCTGAGTCTCTCTCTCCTGCAGTCACCTTGGCTTCCAGGAAGGACAGGACTGACCAATAACATCCTTATGACAGGGGACTGAACTACCTCCCAGGAAGCAAGACAGGCCACCCCCCCCCCCAAATGAGGACCATGACCCATGATGACGAGGCTGTACCCTCGAGCAGGCGTGATCAGTCATCTCAGGGGACGACATTGTCCCCTCAAGTGATGACAGAGATGACATACCTCCCAAAACCCTCGCAGAACTAGAACTGAGGTAACATCAGCTGGGCCACAGGCCACACTTTGGCCTGGGACTGCTTCGTTCTGCACAACTGGCTCTCCCTGCCCCAATCCCTCCTCTGCTTAAACCTAAGGCTCACTGCTTAGCCCCTTCCCACAGCTACCAGCCCCTGCAAAAGTAAATCTCCTTTCTCCGCCCTACCCCATTACTCTTTAGTTGGCATATTGGGGCGAGTGGCCAGACCTGAGGTGTTGGAGCGCTGCCCACTCAGGTCTCTGATCTAGAACACCAGTTACACCACTAGCCAGGGGCATGGAACTGTCAAGATGCCTCGGTCAGGATTCCTTCCCCTTGCCCTTCCACCAGGGGCAATAGTGTCTGTTCCCACCCCTGTGACCTCCTAACCCCACTGACCACCAAAGGGCCACTGGGCCACAGCCCCTGAGCAGTTCACCCTGCTGGGCGTGGAGTAAGGTGCTACCCCATTTCTCATCCGTATTGCAGGACCAGGGTCCCCAAGGCCCCATAAAAGTCCTGACAGATGTGTGGGCAGGGGGAGGCCATTTTCTGGAGCCAAGGCCTTAAAACCCCGTTCCCAAACCATGCTACAATTATGACAGCTTCTGAAAGCCTCACCATCCACGAGACACCATGGGCCACTTAACTCAGGCTCCATGAGTGAAATCCAGCACCAGAGCTGCAAAATGCCCAGGCGAAGAACGAGTTTTAATGAAAAGATCATAAAATAAGCATTTCTTGTTACTGTGCATTAAAACTGCACACTTCTGATGGACAGAGCAGCCATCGGTCAGTCACTTTCCTATGACATGTTGGACTGTGTACCGCAGTTCTAACCTAACCTGAATTTACCCAAAGTTTTGAGGGACATGAACTACAGTGGCCAGTACAGAAGTGCAATCCCAGTTGTCCCTTCCCTTCTCCTGGAAGAGCATAAAATAGGACATGACACCTTTTCCAATTCCACTTAAACAAAACAGCTATACCTCATCCCACTCCCCTCCAGGTATTTGCAAATGGGCCAGAGCCCAATCTGGAGTGGGGGGAGACACAGGGGAAGCAAGTGATGGGTGGGGTGCAGAGAGGCTCCCCTGAGCACCTGGATCCTTGGGGTCCTGAGAAGGGGAATAGGGGATCTCTGGGGACCCTCCCTGCCCCAAAGAATAAGTGCTTTCCCTTCCCACCTTTAAATGTGCATGCAAAGGGCCTGGGGTCTGTTCAGAACATGGATTCAGGCTCAAGGGGTCACCTAAAATTCTGCGTTTCTAACAACTTCCCAAGGCCGAAGCTGAAGGTCTCTGAGTTGCTCTTCTGGAGGGTGTTGCTGGCTCATCCTGTCCACAGCTGGCTCCAGGCCATCCCCTGAGCCCCCATGCCTGGAAGGGACTCACAGTGGAGGCAGGTGGAGGTGAGAAGCCGTTGGAGAACATTTAGGGGCTTTTCCTCTTCCCCTGAAAATCACCAGCAGCTGGTGTGTGTTGAGTCGGGGCGGGGAGGTGGGAAAACCCCCTCAGAAACCCCATTTGGGGCCAACCGACATTCTCAGCCACCTTGACTGCCATCAGAGATCACTCCACTCCCCCTCTTGACCTGTCCACACAGAGGTAGAGGACTGAGGGTGCAGAGAACTTGGGGGTGGATTTGTCATTGGTCCTGAAATTGGCTGCTGCTGTGCCTTCTGTTACCGGGTAGATTTCAGCCTCCCCACCCCCACCCCAGGCCTTTGGCATCTCCAAGTCAGGAATTGGGGATGTGCTTTCCACTGGGGCCCTGGGAAGTGCGTGGGAGCAGAGACTCCTGGGAAACACTGAGTGGCTCCCAGCGCCTCCACCCAAAGCAGAGAAGGAGCAGGGTCTCCTTTCAGATCCCTGCAAAGCTTGGAGGCACAGCCCCAGCTCTGATCCCTGCAACTGGGCTTTGTCTCTGGAGCCAAAATAATTGTGATTTGGCAGGGGGGGGATTTGAACTCAGGGCTTTACATTAGCAAGGCAGGCACTCTACCACTTGAGCTACATCTCTGCTCCTTTTTCAATCTGGTTATTTTCAAGATAGGGACCTCCTCTTGCCCAGGCTGATCTGGACCGTGATCCTCCTATTTATGCTTCCTGCCATTGCTGGGATGACAGGTATGTCACTGTGCCCAGCATTTTCTGTTAAGATGGGGTCTTGTGAACTTTTTTGCCCTGGCTTGTCTGGAACCACCATCCTCCCGATCTCAGCCTCCCAGGATTACAGATGAGAATTGCTAAAGCTACAAGAACATTATTTTCGTGCCTAAAAAATGAACAATAAAGGTGGTGGTGTTTGGGTTTTTGGTTTTTTTTTTTTAATTTTTGAGACAGTTTCTCACTCTGTAACACAGTCTACTGTAGGACTCGGCCATGTCCCCAGGTTGGCTAAAACTTGCTATCTTCCTGCCTCTGGCTCCCAGGTGCTGTGATTACAGGCGTAACCCCCACACCTGCCAACAGTAAGCCTTAATATCAGGGACTTTATCCGAAGTCCCACAAATCATCCCTTTATTGCACTTTTGTTTCCCACAGTTTGTTTAAATTGTGACTGTCCACAGTCCTCCGTCCCACCGTGCATGCAGGAGGATCCGGGGCCCTCTGTCCTTTGCACCTCCTCCTTCAGCCCATGTTCTCGGGGTGGCATCCTTGAGCTGGGGGGCCTGCCTGAATGAAACGGTCCATCTGCCTGGCACCCCAAGGATCCCGCCTCTCCTCACCCCCACCCCTGGAGCAGTTGGTGAGGGATCAGAGGACTTGGCCCAGAAACCTGTTGTGACTTGGACTGGAACAAAGCGAGGGAGGCAGGTAAACAGAAAGCCGGGTCTTATCTGCACGCTGCATAGCAGTGGTCGGCCTGAGAGCTTCCCAACAAACAAGGCCCTGTCTTCCCTCAGACACCCTTAACTTTATGCTCAGCAATCAGAACCATCCTGGGCCTCTATGGAGGTGACAGGTCTCTATCCTCCACAAGGTGGTTTTCGCCTTTGCCCTCTCATCAGGTGGGTGCCCAACTCCTATACACGGCCCGTGAGTCTGCATGGCAGGACTGGCTACCCTCTGTGGCCTGCTGCTGGCAGTCATTAGGGCCCAGTGGCCAGATTCTGCCAGTTCTCAGAACACACAGAGCTGTCACCCTCCCCAGGGCCTTTGCACGTGCTGCCTCCTCTGCATCAGAGTGCAGAGGCTCCAAGTGGCCTCTCCTCCCCGCTCCCTAACGTGCACTGGACCAGTCTACCGCTTGACTTGCTCTGTTTGAGACCTTTCTTGTCTGTCTTCTCTCTTATTCCCCCTCCCACCATGTTTGGTCATTCTTACTCTGTTTTAACTCAAGTATCAGTTCAGTGAGGCGTGGGACCCTGAGTAACCAGAGTCCTGGGCCAGAGGCTCCCCACCAGGGGCTCCCACATGTCAGGTCAGCCCCTCGCCCCCATGGAAGAACAGGGAAGGAGATTTATCCCAGGGCAAAGGCAGCTGGGGAAGAGACACAGTAAGCAGTGCGGCCATCTCGGGGGCACAGACCTGAACTCAAGGTTTAAACGGGAAGAACTGGGGCAGAGGGACGAGGTGTGCAGAGTTAAGCAGTCCAGGTCACAGGTGTGCTCCTATGGTCAGAGGTGGTCAGACCACAGGTACAGTTCTGTCTCAGGACTGGTCAGGCAGGCGGGGCCTGGTCACCATAAGAGAGTCACTGGTGGCTAAGGGCAGTTTCGACTCTTGTCACAAGACATTATCCATCTCCTGCCCTTCCTGGATTCCAAGGCAGCTGCAAGGTCACTGCTCAGAACAAAGACAGGGACACCAAGCTCTGTCCTGCTTCCAGCTAACTTGTGGGCCTGTAAGGGCTCAGTGCTTTATTTTCCTCGGTGGTGGTACTGGGACTTGAACTTGAAGCCCTGTGCTTTCAAGGCGGGTGCTCTACCACTTGAGCCACTTTGCCAGCCCTGTTTTGTTTTAGGTTATTTTTTAGGTAGGGTCTTGTGTTATTTTGCCCAGGGCTGGCCTGGACTGAGATCCTACTACCTATACCCCGTGTTGCTGGGATTACAGGTACCTACCACCACACCAACTTGTTGGTTGGGATGAGTTTAACTCCCCCATCCCTCCGCCAGCCTGGAACCACCATCCCTCCTGATCTCTGCCTCCTAAGTAGCTGGGATTACAGGTGTGAGCCACCTTGTCCAACCCCGAGCACAAGCAGTTTCTAAATATCTGTACAGTACAGCCAGGCTGCCTTGTTTGCATTTTCTGAGTCGGCAGCTCTGGCTGGGTAGGGAGAGCAGAACCTTTGCCAAGTGCCAGAGGGGCAGAACTTGGGGCAAGCAGGAACTTAGGGAATGCCGCCAGGGCAACATGGGGCTCATGGAAGAAATGGCCCTGCCCCAGTGCGACGGGCCTAGGGGTGCCGCCTCCATCCTGCCTGTCGGAGAACAGGTGCAGCTCAGGGCCTGTCCGTGTGATGCACCCTGATACTTGTGACCGCCACCTTGCTACTTAACTCTCAATGCCACCTGCCCTTTTTTTTGTCTGCAGGACAGAGAGCTGGACATGCTTGGCCTGTGGCTGTTTCACCACCTGTGATGTCCTCGGTGCCCAGCGAGGGGGAGGGGAGCCCTGAGATCCTCATCCCAGCTGCCAGTCCTTGTCCCCTCCCTGTGGTCTTTCCTAGCTGCCAGATGTCACTTCTGGGGCTCCAGGCTGCTTCTTTTGGGTATCCCAGGTTGGCTCCCTGTGGGCTCTGCCTGTGGCCAGCTGTTCCCTCCTCTAAGTCAGGAAATTCCAGATGGGACAAAAAGGGACACCCCAAGCTTTGATGCAGCCCACCTGTCCTCCCCAACAATCCTCCCTCTTCCCAGGGCCATGGAAAAAGAGGTTCAAAAAAGCCTGCCATCCATCAAGGGCTAGGACAAGGTGGCAGTGTCAGGTTCACAGGGCCTTCTCTGC